TTAGAGCATTGATGTCCTGATCATGAAAAAAGCTATTTATATCTTCACGAAAAATGAAGTTATAAAAACAAAGAGATTAAGATATGACCAGCTAAAAGTAAGCGACCGATTGAAATATTCTTATATAAAGTATTTCCAACCATAAGTTCTCAATCTAGCTTAATTGTAAATATCTCAAGGTCTGTTTAATAATACATTTGTCTACCACTGCAAGCGTATCGTGCGTATTGTATGTAAATGTTTTAACATGGGCAGAAGCCATGGCAAATACAACAACCATACAAAAAATTGCTCGCCTCTTCGAAGAAGAGTGAGAGCTAATGTTGTCACCCTTTGCGTTTTCAAAACTTAAGATTTTGAGTTAAACTAGAGGATTTGTTTTGGCGAAAGGCTTTACAACAGCGACAGACTTGTTTGGTGATACACAGAACCACGTTTATCAAATACATCCTGTAGATCCACGGAGCTTCGCAAACACACGATTACAGAATGCTGGTATGTATATGACAGACTAGAGTTTATCAGGTCTAGACCAACGATAGGGACTTCTAAAGATGTGCAGGTGTCAAGTTATTGGGAACCTTAACAACTAAATAGTGGATGGAATCGAATAGCCATAATATCTTGCACCAGCAGGATAAATGACGGTTACCTATCCAAATACTGGAAATCATAGACACATGGAATACATGAACACTATATTTCTAAACGAGGCCGACAGGGACATTAGAGATTAGCAATAACGCCAGATACTGAAAGAAGACTGGAAGTGAAGGGATTCGCAAACTCAGCTATATATATATATATACTAAACAAAAAAAGAAAGGTAACACTACTTTATTCTGTGATTAATTAATTAACCCCTTCATAAATCCTTACCAATCTTGTACGAACAAAGTAATTGATCAATTCTGATAAAACTGCAGTCATGGTTCATTATAAAACTTTGCTTTCAGTTGATTTTATTCGACTGTAAAGGACGTTGGGGTCAATTTCAAAGGTAACACCATTAGTAACGGGTATGGCCACCGTTTGCAAAGTAAATAGCATTGCAGCGTCGTCGCATGGAACTCGTAAACCGGCGAATAATTCGAGGAGAGATGTTGTTCCATTCAGCGATCAAGGCTTGGACCACAAGTTTGACATTTTGACGTTCTCTTAATCGCCCAAGAATCTCCCAGACATACTCAATCGGTGACAAATCAGGTGATTTAGACGGCCAATCTAACACCTGTACGTTATTCTGCTGCAAGAAAGTTCTGCTGACGCAACTGGTGTGTGCTGGTGCGTTATCCTGTTGAAAAATGGCGCCAACGCCAGGGCGTCTTAAGAATGGCAGAACCACTGGTCTTAAAATTTCGTCCCGATATCGAATGCCGGTTAAATTGCCATTTAACACAACAAGCCTGGTACGAGTCCCCCAAAGCGGTCCCGTTCTACGACGCAGCAGTTCGTAAAACGCTCCCCTCGTCGCCTCCACAAGTTGAAAGATAGCAAGATTCGGTGATTTCTAAGTCCTAAGGATCTAAGGAACAGTTGTCAGTTTGAATGTTTATGAAATTCAAGCGAAGTACAAGTTAGTCGCAGAAAACCTCGTGCAGCTCTTTCGCTAATACAGACTTTCTTTTTTTGTTGGGTATATATAGGGACAATAACAGAAAACTATGAGAACATCCGAGGCAAAGAATTGTAATATCTCGGACACATATACTATAAACATCTCACTGACCTAAGCCGTTAAGTGCACAGACTAACAGCTAATAATACCAACCATTATTGTTATATGCTTTACGGACTATTGGCACAGAGAAAGGTATCATTAGGATCGACGAATGGTAGACAAACGGTCCAAAAAGGAATGCACTAAATAGACAAAATTGTTGAAAGGCATTACAGGTATCACAGTACCCATATGCACAAACTCTGTCATGGGAAGTCATATTTTGTGGCGCAGCCTGATAGCTTTCAGAACGTCTAGAATTTTGAACTTTACTATCTCAAACAAAGAATTAGTTGAAACGGAAGTTTCAGGGTTTTTTTATTTATTTTATCTATGTTATTTTTTTATGTTTATTTTTCTTTTTAGTTATTATAGAACTATATCCTGAAGGCTGCGATTTAATGATAGAAATGACGAAGACGTTCTACCGTCCGCGTCATAATAATTTCACTGTGAAGTAGAGTCTATTTCCATTGGTGATATGAGTTGGGCGTGTTTGGTGCGATTAAGTATACTTGTTGGATCCGTGGTAGTTTACCTTGTACGCATTTGGAAACGTGACATTACTTACTTGGATTGACAAAGATTTACACGGCGGGAGTAGTCGATGGAGCCGAGGTCTTAATCTCCTTGTACTTTTCAGTGGTCTCCCTTTGTTTTCTTTTGTTCTTATTTGGCTCTAGTTTTAAAGTGTTTTCTGTATAATTCTGTTGATATGTCGGTATTTCCTTTTTTTAGATAACTGGACTAAGGTATAATATGAATGAGAAGGTAGTACACCGTTTTAGATAACTGTACTACGGTATAATATGAATGAGAAGGTAGTACACCGTTTTAGATAACTGGACTAAGGTATGATATGAATGAAAAGGTAGAACACCGTTTTAGATAACTGGACTAAGGTATGATACGAATGAAAAGGTAGAACACCGTTTTAGATAACTGGACTAAGGTATGATATGAATGAGAAGGTAGTACACCGTTTTAGATAACTGGACTAAGGTATGATATGAATGAAAAGGTAGTACACCGTTTTAGATAACTGGACTAAGGTATGATATGAATGAAAAGGTAGAACACCGTTTTGAGATTGAAGGTTCCAGTAAGAAATACAGAAGCGGTTTTACATGGCTAATTTGTTTTATTTGCAACTTAAGAACAGACAAAATGATATTCGACAACGTATATATGTAACTTCAACTAATCCGCTTTACACCTTTAATTCATCTGTATGGATTTTCTACATACATATAACTATTCCAGATATGTCTTGATAAATACTTGTGTCTGATTATTAAAGATGTGCTTATAGTATGAATCAAAATATTGAAAGCACGTGCGTTGTGAAAAGCTTATATGGCGGCTCTCATTGCGTTATCTCATCGCCTAAAGTTTCACAGTCATAAAACATTTACTACGTGTCAGGACGGAAAGGGGATCTAATGCCTGCTGTAAAATCGGCGGCGTTGATGAACTGAACAAACAACAACATTTTTTTTCTTATTTGATATTCAGGATCGCTGCAAATTTAAGAATTGTAGCAAAGCCCTAATGATACAACAGTTTTCTTCTTAATTTAACGCGGCTATCAAAATAATTTATAATTTTGAACTTCATAAGTTTAAGAAATTATACACATCATCATACTATACAGTCCATCGAAAGCATTAGTTAATTTTGACGGCTTTGATTCTGTAGTTTGGTGGACCCGATGGTATGCCAATGTTGGGTATTCCAGTAGGCATGTTGTCTGGATATTCCGGAAGTAGTTCGAATCTCTGTATCAGTGACGTCACAAACAGAAACAGTTCCATTCTAGCCAACGGTTCTCCGAGACATATCCGGCGTCCTAAAATGTCGGAGTATATTCACAATTTAAACAATATCATCGAATTATTTACTGATAATTAGTGCTCAAATTACAAATGAAATTTAAAAAAAAAAGTGTTTTTGACTTAAGTAACATTTTCATTACACCACTCTTATATTACATTGTATTTTGTAACCGTAGTGAATGATATTATATACTTGCCGAAGTCATATGGACATGAAAAATATGATACAGACGGTAGAGTAGAAGATACATTAAAATATAGTACATTTATTTATGTTAAACAATTCGAGCACAGCACTTTTCGATATTAGGTAAGGTATAAGTTCTTTGTACTTGTGACAAATGGGACAAAGCGTTAACCTACCTAAGGAGAATGCCATCACAAACTTCTCCTTTCCGTTAAGCTTTCCATCTTCTCCTATAAATCTTTCCGGGTTAAATTTAGTGGGATCCTTAAATATGTTTGGATCGAAATGAACAGAATCTAAATTGGCTAAAATTGTACATCCTTTCGGTATGGCCATCCCCCTGAACTCAAAGTCCTTTCTTGCTCCGTGAGGAACGCTTAGTGGGGCAATGTTCCCAAAGCGCAGGGCTTCAGTTATCACTGCCTCGTAATACGGCATATTCTGCCTGTCTTCAAGAGTAGGGAATCTAGAATGACCGACCACGTGATCTATCTCCTGGCGAAGTCGGCGCTGGATGTCCTGGTTGTATATCAACTGTAGAATTGTCCATCTTATCGTCGTGGTCGTGGTTTCCGTACCAGCCACGAATAAATTCAGGAGTGTCACTTGTAAATTAAAGTCTGTAAACGAGAAAGAACGTGATGTTAACCAAGACAATCGACTAAATCGGAAAAAGACGTGCCAATTAGTAAAAATAAATAAATGGAAATCTTACTTGTTTATGGATGTGTGTAAGTCATGTTTCTCTGTGAAAGTTGTAATCGTTATGGTGTACTCCAGCGTTGTTAGGGACAACGAAGGTACCAGGGTAACAAGAGGTAAATATTTGAAATACTGATAATTTGATTATACCGGTTTGGGTATATTAGCGCAATCGGTTTGATATAAACGAAAGGAAATGTGTTCATAGGCCAAATGAATGGTCATATTGGTAAGAATGAAGGATTTGAAACATTTCAAACTAAATCAACTTTACAGCGTTGTATGTAATAATATGACGTAGAAAACAGGAATAAGTTTAAAAAGAATTAGACTTACCTTCAAAAACCGTATTATCTGGATCCTGTCTACTCTGTTCCTTTATGAAAACGTCAATGAAATCTCTTGGATTTTCGGGATCAAAAGTATTTCTATGGTCGATAATCTGTTGCTGCATGTAATTAATTGATTCATAGAAATTGTTACGAATTTTTTTAATGTTGAAAAAATCCCCTGGTAGGTATCTTAGCCAGGGTATGTTAGCAGCAAGAGTTCCTGCACGGTTTAATCGGAATACGTCTTCTAGGAGTTCAATAAGATGCCAGAATTTGGTATCACCGTGTTCGAATCTTTTACCAAACACAATGTTGCATATAATGTTTGAAATACTAATTTGAATAATATTTTTCGGATCATAAACCTTCCCGTTTTGTTCTGACATCACTTCAAGAAATATTCTTATTTCTTCCATGACACGATCCTCCAGAGATTTTTTTCCGAACCCGAATTCTCGAAGAGCACCTAAGGCAAAAGTCCTTGTATGTTTCCAGTGTTGACCGGACGCCTGTACAATACCTGTAGTAGAAAACATATATCTTATTCAACATTTTTTTTATTTATTGAGTAGTTCTCATAACAGTAGCTGTGAAACGCAAATAGAAGTCTGACAGATGGAGATCAAACAGGAGCAGATAAGGTTCCAAGTGAAACGACAGGGACAGCGAATACGTCTAGGACAAGGGAGACAACCACAGATTCTGCAGATGACCGTACAACTAGCCATCCCTTGCAGTGACATACAGTAAGTATACCGTACACTCTCTGTCTTGCCTGCTGTCCCATTTTTTCCGGGATTACCTCCCTCCTTCCTACGCTACATTGTAAATTCTAAAGGGTTTTGATTGACTGATAAACAAAGCATGTAACTAAATCGGCCTGTTGAATTCCAGATTTAAACTTTTCCGCAAATATACAAATTGGAACAGACTAAAGTTATAAAACTTCAAATTCGTCCTCCCCCGATTCTTTATTTGAAATTGTACGTCATCGTGAGGAAGTTTTTGTGTTCTTTCCCCCAACTGAGATTTACAAGAGTCTATACAATATAATTACTACTCTAATTGTTTTCAGCATTTTGGTGCGGTAACTATTGGTTTACCATTTGAACGTACATGTATAATGTGACAAGGTGAGCTACTGCTGGAGGGGTTCGGTAGCTGACTTCAGTGTGATAGCACTATAAAGTCGCCATCAAACCCAAACAACAATCACAAAGGGGTTTACAAGATTATATCGCAGTTTTTCCAAAAACACACATTACATTCAGCCACCTTGCATACACAGGGAGACCGTCCTTAAATGATTTCAGCTGTTCATAAGAATATAAGCAACATAAACCATATCATATCAAACCAAACATAGCACATACTTTACAATGTAACATGAATGTCTTATATATAAGAACAGTACACGATTTAAAAAAAAAACTTTTAAAAAAGTATATATCTTATTTACACTCAGGAAGGCCATGAGCAACTTGGCTTTTGAATTGTAAATGTCGACATGGATTGCTACAACCATGCTATTTCCCTATAAACACGACTGAACATATTATTAATGACTATCTTAGTTGAATTTCTTTAACGTACCTTTGCTTTTGATAAGGGTTGCACTGCGGTATGTATCTGGGCGATCAGAGAAATCTTCTGCCCGCTTTATAAAGGCCTCCTTCAAAGCATCCACACCGTTTATAACAACAATTAGAGTCTGTCCTAACTTTATACTGAAAACATCTCCATATTCAATACGGAGTTTCCGCAACGTGTTCTTCAGTCCATTTCTCCGTACTAGTGGTAAACATCCCACTACTGGGTACCCAGTCGGGCCTGGTGGGATGTTTGATGGCCACTGCTGTGACCAATAAAGTAACAGAAATAACAATATGACCACAATTGCCATGGTCCACCCATTGATACTAGCGCACCATTCAGTTAGCATTGCGAAGACTTTGACGTGGTAGTGTTGGAGTATAAGCAAGACTGACACCGGCGGAGTTACAAACGATCCATATATATATATTGTGTATACACAAATTTGTGCTCAGTTTTTAACCCGACCTTTACCGACAATTAGGTCATCTCTTCGACGATAGTGACATACCTTGATTCGTAAATATTTAGCTCACACCTGCTGATAACGTCCGAGACGTGAATTTATCACACACACTGGACGTAAATATACATTGTTTACGTTACCTGTAGTGTTTACTATATTTCCTGTCACAAAACGATCCAAAGTCGTCATGCACAACAAAACAACTGAGCTGTAAAGACAATTTTCCAAATCATAATCGCACGACCTTCTTGCACTCTCTCCGTCGTTTATCTCAACTCGATCTTCCTTAAGCTGTACTAATCACCTTAAGTAGTTCCTTATATCAGTGACCTAAATACATAGCACTCGCTCTGGTTACAAAGAAAGTTACATTAACGCAGATTTTTTCACACTTGATTGGAATTGTCATTCATATCTTAATACTTTACGGTATTTATAACATTTGACAGCGATGTCGAAACTTATTGGCCGACATTGTTTCCTGCTACACAGGGTTGTATAAGGCGACTGGTCGTTATTTAATATACATGTTAACTATACTCTCAATATTAAAATGAGAACGTTAAGTAAAATAACAACACTAAGTACCCGTTATCCTGAAGAAATAGATGAAAAGTATAAGCAACTCGAAAACAATGAAGAAAATACCAACACTCAAATTCAATAAAATATGTCAGAATATGTCAAAGGAAGATTCACACGAAAACTCCTAAAACGTTCAAAGAGAATAAGACTAGAGTAATCTACTTCTGTTTCGTCATATATTCACCTATCTAGCAAGGCGAGTTATTTAAGTGTGCAGGAAATTTAATAATGTCTACAGACAGTGAAATGGTTACCCCATTCTTACCTCAATACAGGTCAAATTGTCGTAACAACAAAAGCACTTATACATTGCATGTTAGATATTCGTTATTATTTTATACTGTATGTCATTTGTTTATAACAGAATATGAATTGATGAAAACAAGTTATTGTACAATAAATATATCCATCTAGACTCAGATTAGAACAGCTCAAAATCATGTGATAGATATTGAATCCCAGTAACTTATCATAAAGATAATTAATTTTGGCTTTGTATACAGATTTTGCATTCCACTAACAAACGAATACACAATGTTTTATTTTTTGTTGAAAACTGGTCCATGCATGGTACTGTAGAACAGCTACATCACACTAATGTCTCAGTGGGTTACTACAACTGTTTATTAGTTATTTTCAGTAAAACCAGATAAAGCAAAAAATAACAAATATAGGGGATCTTGCGGGAGATTTCATTTCAATTGAAATTTGCGAAACAAGTCTCAAATTTTTTATCAAACTTTGATGAAAAATATGTCACATTTCAATAATCTCATGTGAAATTTGAAACAAAAGTAAGATCCAGTTAGGACATATCTAGATACCTAATTAGACTGATCTGAAATCTAGATCGGTGATATTCTCACCTGTCTGTGATGTCATAATGTATATAACAGCATAAAGTTATCAGCCAATGTCACTGATCTACTATTATTACACATCGTAACACTAGATGTTGTGGGTGGTAACATAGAAGTTACAGGCAACAGATGTAGGTGTGCAACACAAGGCTACGGGGTATCCTGGCACAATTTGTAAGTATGATGGAATAGTGATATAGCCATCGGCAAGTTTTGTGCAAGTTAAATTTTCATGTCTTTACATGATTCAAATATGCAGTTTTCTAGCTTAAGCGTGAAAAGCACATGTTTGATTTTTATCCTTTTTAGATAAAGGATCTCATATGGGTTTCCATTTGATATGTGAATTTATGAAAAAAGTCCAAAGAATTTTTCATTTTAACAAGCCATCAATGAGCTGAAATAAAAATATCTAAAGAGTTCATAAATCTTATATCCAATGAAAACAAATGATACTTTTTATCACATGATTGCTTTTTAAAGCAAGTTTGGTAGAAAACTGACATTTCTAAATTAAAGTCAGCTCTATATCTACAGTCTCCGTTATAATGTCACAATGTCTTTGGTGAAAGTGTAACATCATATTATCTAAAGTGACATCACAATAAGCTATATTATATAGTTTAACATTCAAAATTGTGACGGGTTTATTCACTGAAGAACAAGACAATCATATGGTAAAGAATACAACTCTAGGCTTTGATACATACATGAAGCAAAATGCTTTCTTTGTACAATAGAATATCATATCAAACATAAATCTGTGTCAATCTTTTTTATCATCTTGTAATATTTATTGACATCTATCAGTTTTATTCCTTTAGATTTCTCAAATTTCTCAAAATTTTATCCAAAATCACAACACAGATGAAAGAAATTTTTATTTGAAACATATATCTCATATATTTGAGAGGAATTTTCTCTATACCAAATCTATAATCAAAAGATTTCTTTTAGTGTAATGCAATACAAATCATACCAAAACTACTTATTTCTATTTTAGGTCATATTGATATAGTTTTTTGATGTGAATGAAGTTGTTCCCTCTCCATCATCTTTGTATTTTAAACCGTGTTTTATCCAGAAATTTAACAGAACAACTAAGAACTACATGATGAGGTTGACAGGGCCCTAAAATGACTGTAGTTACTGTAACACATTTCTTGTGATATTCCTTACTAAGTAGCACAATACCAAGTGTGTTTTATCTTACGTTTATTATTTACAAACATTTTGCTCTCTTGATGATACTGTTGGTAACCTACTTAATGTCATCCCACATCAGATGCTGTCTCAGTTATATCTCCAGTATAGAAAATAGATTTAACCAATTATTTCACCGTCCGTCATACGAAAAACATCCTAAACAAATCTACATACCAGAAAATGGATTGTTTAAATTTGGCTATAAATATTCAGTATGTTTGATAAGTGTTAATGAATATATTTCTTTATGATAGATGACAGCTTTCAATAGGGTAGAATGCAATGAAAATATCAATGGTTTTGAAACTCGTCATGTAATAAAAAGCTTGCGCACATTTTTGTTACCATAGAATTAAAAAAAGGGTTTCGATGATTAATTAGACTGATGTGGGTCAGACGTTTAAAAGAAGGTGCCAGATTGTCCATTTAAAAGAATGTCGGGTAACATGAAGGAGGAAATATTTCCTTGTCTTTGTTGTAACTTGTGTATATAGTGACATAAACAGAGGAGTTATGCCACTGCTCGGAAGGGTGTCTCGGAGTGTGGTATATACTATTATCTTAAGAGCAAAATATTAGTATCAATCAAAAGGTCATGTAGTATATTGACTTAGCTGTGTTAACTCACAAAAAAAAGTTATGTATATATATTTATGTATGTATATATATAACGTGGTATCATGATGTCTCTCCAAATATCTTTTATAGCTGCTATAGTTCATAAAGCTACCGCTAATTTCTACTCGGCCCTGAACGACGAAACAGAATTGTTAACAAAAAGAATGGTAAAAATTGTACCAGAAGTTGTTTTAATTAAGGAATGACTAACCAAATAGGAGTAAAAATGAACAATCATGTACTGTCTACTAATAAGAGGACAGTGTGGGAAACAGCAGTGTGTATATGAATGATGCAAAATATCACTTAATAGCATATCTGCAGTATCAGCTAGAAAGGATCAAATAGTAAACACGAGAATGTTTTGGACTGGACTTTCCAGTGTGGTGTAAAGGTTTGCTATAGAGAGGATTCTTGGATTCATGATGTATCTTGGATGTGTGTGGATTTTCTCTTGTGGTACAGAGAAATCGGGTCTTTTTTAAGGAGGGATTATTTTTTGAGAAGTGGCTGATATTAACAGCTTTGTTTACATAATTTGTTGTAAATGGAGAACATAACAGTACAGCATTGTACTGAATCAATGATTGTCGATGTGGATTTGTTTAATGTTAATTTGATAAATAACATTGTCAGTGTTTCAATTTTCTTTTCTTTTTTCAATCAAGTGATTTTATGTATTAAGCTCTAGTATACCTTATTTGATAGAAACATATTTAAGAAAGAATTTTTTTCAACTGAATCTAGTAAAGCATCATGCTTTTCAGTATTGTGAGACCTGTTACTAAGACTTCCTGCGACCAGGATCCAGGATATAATTGGATTTGATATGAAATGTGTATTATGAGGAAATGCTTATTTTGTGTTGTTATTATTTTTCTTGCTTCGTATTTGTTTTGACTTGATTATATTTCCTACTTATAAACCAGAAAGTGATCACTCTTCATGCTAACAAGTTTATATGTGTAGATTTTGATTATATTGATAGATTGAGAAATGTTGATTTAACTGAGAAGGTTTAGTTATTATGTTTTTAACTTACGATGATTATTTAACTTTTAAATGGTTAACTACTACCTAATTTAGATTATATGATGTCATGATTTAACACCTTATATAAAACGTACCATATTATGTATATATATAAATTGGCATAGTTATCTAGTTAATACAAGGACGTTATGATATAGTTAACAGTTTACCTGTTACCACGCTTGTAGGACTGACTTAACTAATGATATAGTTAACAGTTTACCTGTTACCAAGTGTGTAGGACTGACTTAACTAATGATATAGTTAACAGTTTACCTGTTACCAAGTGTGTAGGACTGACTTAACTAATGATATAGTTAACAGTTTACCTGTTACCAAGTTTGTAGGACTGACTTAACTAATGATATAGTTAACAGTTTACCTGTTACCAAGTGTGTAGGACTGACTTAACTAATGATATAGTTAACAGTTTACCTGTTACCAAGTGTGTAGGACTGACTTAACTAATGATATAGTTAACAGTTTACCTAACAGTTTACCTGTTACCAAGTTTGTAGGACTGACTTAACTAATGATATAGTTAACAGTTTACCTGTTACTTAACTAATGATATAGTTAACA